GTGCGTGTGTGAGCGTGTATGTGTGTATATGTGTGTGTGTGTGTATATATATATATACATACATACATATCTATATATATATATATATATATATACACATACACACACATATATACCATCATCTCATTCAAATTGCCTTAAAAATTAATTTATCGTTCTTGCTATTTTTTTAATCCCAAGAAAAGAATCTTTAATCCCAAGTAAATAATGAGCGCGCATTTGTATAGAATAACACGTCGACACTCAGCATCGTTTTCAAATATAATTCCAATCATACGGTATTGTCTTAGTACATCTCTAAAAGTGATACCGACCTTGAAGACAGCCCAACAGGACAATCCCGAGGATGAGTGAAAGCTGACGACGCATTCTTCCGATACTATCACGACGTTGCCAATCTGACTTCACAAAACGGTATGTTCGCACGGGCGACGAATTCCTTCTGGAATCGCTCTGGCGATTATCCTATTGCTGAGACCCTCGTCACTGCGGTCTTGCGGGAGTAGAGCGGTGATGAAAGAAGAAGAAGAAGAAGAAGAAGAAGGAAAAGAAGAAGAAGAAAACCGAGAGAAGGCTCGAGAAAGAGCGTGCCAAAAGATTTCGCGAGGCCAGGAGAGGAGGAAGTGTCCTCTTCGACCTCTATCGTCCTTCGAGATCCACGAACGACTGAAGCGTACGGAGCGACGTCAGCCCGACTATAGCCTCCCCTTCCTACTTTCACGTGGCGTGCTCCCGTTTCCAGTGGAGGCGCGGAATAAAGAGCCTCTCCACGGACCATTTACTATTACCATCATCGTCGACAGCAGCCGTCAAAAAGAGAGGACGGTTACCGCCCGACTGCCCCCCTGTCCCGCGCCGGAAGGTGGGGAAGAGACTACCCCACCGACCCCTCTCTTCTCTTCTCAGCCCCCGTCTTCTTTCTCGTCATTTCTGGATGCATCGCGTCACCGCGAAACGCCGGGGAACACTCAGTGTTTCTAGGCCAACTCTTCCTCCTCCATTGTAGCTAGGACATCCTTCTTCTGCTCTTCTTATCGTTCTGCTTCGGCCACTTTGTCTTACTTGATCAATTTTTTTAATCATCAGTGAATTAGAGACCAAGGATACTTCGCTCGCGGTCCTAACGCAAATCGCAGATGATAACGGGGATTCGAAAAAGGAGATTATAAGAACGAGAATTCTCCTCATGAAATACATAGATATCTCAAGCGGAATAACAGGCCACAAGATAACATCCAAACGACAGTAAAATGAATCGTGATTAAAAAATGACTTTTAATAATTATTTTGGAGCCGTTTTAATGTCGTTTTGTTCTGCTTGAAAACTTCAAGCCTAGGTAGAACATAGAAATCATAATAATATCATTAGAAGATATTATCATGACTTTGTTTGTCATTTATAAGTTTATTTATGAGCAAATTAAGTCATGATGATATCCTATTAGTATCATTTGTGTTCTATCTGGAAGTACTTATATTCGGTTTTGTAATTTAAAAATTAGAGAATTTATATTCCAATTGTACAGAATGTATGTACACGGAACATGGAACACAAAACACACAATTAATATTTTGTGTGTCGCTTCTTCATGTCCGACTTTCGAGATTGAAACGATGTACAGTACGTGAGCCAGAATTCCGAAAAGTTGACCAAAATATAAAAGAGTTTTTCAATTTATATGAAATTTGAAGGGGTTTTCGAAATCAATGACGAATTCAAAATCAAAATTAACTAAAAAAAAGAGTGGCGGATCCAATATGGCGAACATAAATATTTAAATATTTTTAATGTAATCGAAATTCGGTATCAGGGGGTTTTCGAGGTTGCTAATTACGATTTTGAGATCGAAATAGCAGAAAAATAAAACGTAGGACCCAATATGGCGGGCATAAATTTTTAAATATTTTTAATGTAGCAAAAATCTCTCTCCCCCCCCCGCTCTCTCTCTCTCTCTCTCTCTCTCTCTCTCTCTCTCTCTCTCTCTCTCTCTCTCTCTCATATCATGAGGTTTTTGAAGTCGCTGATGAAAAAAAGAAATAAAATATTGTATATTTGTAAAACAATTTTTATTCCTTATCACTTATTTTGAAAAAAGTCTCATTTCTTAATGTTTTTCAATAATTGTTAACATAGCAAAATTTTGAAAATGTTTGTTTCTAATAAACATAATCTTGAAAAATGTTATAATTTACGATTTTTAAAACGTTTTTTAACGTTTGTACTATATTTTGTTCCAATTATTATAACATTTTTTATTTCGCTGCTAACCACACGAAAGTTGAATTTTCTGAAAAAAACTGAAAAAGTTCGTAAATACGAAATATAGGCAAGTTTCATGGAAAATAATGTTTATTTCAAACTTACATTGTAACATTTAAATGTTTCGAATTTGAAATATGTAATGTTTTAAGTTCAAAGCGATTGAAAACAAATCGGTAACTAGGACGTTTTCAAAATACAAAATAAAAAATAAAAATTTATTTGAATCTTAAATGCTTGTATGATTCTTGTGTGAATTTATATACTACGTATGTAATTTCCAGAAAATGTGCGCCGAAATAATTTTTCGGTTTTTGAAAACGCTAACTCTACTAAACTATCGCAGTATTATCACGAATTAAATTGACTAACAATTTAACAAATATTTGATGCAATTCGCATCTTCGAGAAACGATCTTAATAATGTTGAATAACATATTAAAATCTGTAAATAATTAATTTTTTTATTGTTTATTTACGTCGCCTAAAGAAATGTTATTCCTTCATATGCTAATTATTGCGAAGAATATTACTAAAGCCTTGATAGTCTAAAGGCTGAGGACGCTAGCACAAAATGCAAAAATAATTCGATTCCCGGCCGAGGTAATATTTTTCGCAATAAGAATTAATTATTTACATTTAATATGTTAATTGCATTAAATATTTATTAAATTGCTAGTCAATTTAACTTGTGATAATACTGCGGTAGTTTAGTAGAGTTACCGTTTTCAAAGACCGAAAAATCATTTCAACGCGCATTTCTGGGGTTACATATGTAGTATATAAATTCACGCAAGAATTATACAAGCATTTAAGATCTTAGACCGTTTAAGGCTTTGATTTTTGTAATTTGTGTTATCACATATACGGTCCTATATATAATAATATGTTATATTGAAAAATTTATTTATTATATAAAAGAATTTTTGAATAACGATCAAGACATCGTTTTGAAAAAAATCTAAGAATACATACTTTGTAGTAAAATAGTATATATCGTCTTTTTGAACAATTACGAAAAACTGACATAAATCATTTTAACATGCTCGAGAAGTAATTACGCTCTTACTTCAACTTTTCAATGGTACTGTACTTGATCCTTTTATTATACCTGAAATACTTGCCCATTTAGTACCGTATGACCCTAAAGATTCTTGTACCTGTCATGGTCTGTTTACATTTGGCAAATCAATATCAAAACAAACACCGCGGAGTGCTTGTACAAAAACTTGTCGCAATATTACAAAAGCAGGTGAAAGCAACTAAACTTTTAATGATTCGAGAGAAAAGTATAAGCTAAAAGATGATATTAGTAAGCCTTCGGAACACAGAGGTATACATAAATATTTGGAAATACTTGAAAATTTATTTCTTTCAAAATATATATATAATTTTTTAAAAGCTTAGATTCAATTAAACAATTATGTATGTAATATATATGTAACGGGCAAAGTCTCTATAGTTGGCAGTGTTGATATTATCCGAGTTGCAATTTTATTTCTGTTAATATTGCCCGGGCAATGCCGACACTATCCACTTACGGACTTTGCTCGTAACATATATATAATATTAGGGATGCACCAGATATCTAGTATCTGGTATTATCCTTCGGTATTATTCTATCATTTTTTTACTATCCGATCGGATAATCGGGTATCATTAATATCCGGGAATATATCCGATTGAAATTTGATATTATTAAATTGATTTTTTTCTTATACGAATGTTCTAGAAACAAGTATGCATATTCATGATACTAATATCTTAATATTGTTGCAAAATTACAATTTTTTTTCTATAGGCTTTTCTCTTAGACTTTCTCGAAACACGCACACACACGCACGCACGCACGCACGCACGCACGCACGCACAAGGGTAGTTCGAAAAGTTCTCAGCCTGACATAGACATGGTATCGGGAGTATTAAAAGGCTGATTTCTCTTAAGTTTGATTCTTCAGAGGGCCTCCGAAAAAATTTCAGATAGATGTGGTTAGTAGTTTGTCTGTTACGTCGAGTAAAGCAAATAAGTTTTTTGGTATTTTTTGAAAACTTGTTTCTCACATTTTTGCAATTGCAGTCGCAAAACTTCATGAGTTGCGCTTCGAATTGCTGCCACATACATCATACTCATCAAATTTAGTCCCCAGTAATTTTTTTCTGTTCCTGAATCTGAAGAAATGGTTCGCTGGAAAAAGATACACTTCAAATACGGAGGTCGTCGCTGAGACAAGCGCTTATTTTGAAGAGTTAGAAAAATTGCATTATATATACTGAAGGTCTAAAGAAGGAATATTGTTGGTTTAAGTGCATTGACTTATAAGGGGGTTAAAAAATGAAAAAAAATTTTGTCACAAATCATATGTTTTCTTTGTCAGACCGAAAACTTTTCGAACTACCCTCGTATATATATATATATATATATATATATATATG